AACTCTCATGAGAACAGCACAAGAAAAACTTGCCCCCATAATTCAATTACCTCCAACTGGTCCCTCCCACACGTGGGAATCCAGGATGAGATTTGGGTGGAGACACAGCAAAACTGTATCAACTGTAGAGTACACTTAAAACTTTGCTAAGAAGGTAAATCTTATATTATTATATCACTCACAAAAATAAAATTAAGAGAAGGTGGTAAACTTCCAGAGGTGATGGATAATTCACGACAATGATTGTGGTGATAGTCTCATGGGTGTGTACTTATCCCCAAACTCATCAGGCTCTGCATTAAATAGGTACAGCTTTTGTATGGCACTCTTACCTCAATAAAGTCATTTAAAAATTGACACAAGGCATAACCAATAATATCTGAAGAGAAAACCTATTTGACATGTACATTGGAGCCTCTGAAAGGGTGAATGGTGAACTCTGACAGGGGTAGCTGTCTTGCCCCTGCTGCCTTCCCAGCACTCAAGAAAGCCTCAGTGGGACTGTTTGCAGCCTGAGAAAGATATGTGGCATGAATACATGTATTATTAGCAAGTGGAGATAGCTGAGACTGCTTTGAAAAGGAAAAACCTTTAAAAAGAAAGCATTATTTCATTTATAGAGAAGAGAACTTCATTGGGGCTAAATGTGGAGCAGCAGTTGCTGAATGCCATTTACCTTGACTTGTCATGAAGCCTACAGTTGCCCTACTGAAGAAGCAGGGGAACTCTGGATCCCAAATCAGCACCCAGCCTGATGCCAGTTATAAAAGTTTAATTTTTATGTGTCAATTTAGAAGACCCATCTGGGAAAAAGGTTCATTTCCCTTCCCAAGATGCGTCCTCACCATTAAATTACACTGTTTAAATGTATTTTCTCCGAGTTCAATTTTGCTTGGTCAGATCATTGCATTTTACGTCACATCCATTGTCCGCAATCACCATCTGGCGATTACTAGGATGGCTGTGGGTAAGCTACCTCCTTATTTATTTAGTTATTTATTTTATTTATTTTTACTGCTTTGTGTGTTTTTTACCCTGCTCAGCATTCCTGGATCGTGCAATCTTAAAAGGATGGTAAGTTATTCCGGGCTATTCTGAATGTAAAACATGCCCACCAGATATCAAGGTGTAGGATTAGGAAAAAAGACCGGGGTAGGTAACTGACAATCAATTTCCTGAGACCCCATGCTGTCCACTCAGAGCCACTCTTTGATTCACCGTTGAGAAGGCACGTCTCTCTTACAAGCTGTTTTAAATTTCAGTCTAAATTTTTAAGCATTTAATATGTGTCCTCTTGGAGCCCCTAGTAGATAGGAGACACCATTTATTATCAAGTGCTATTCACCATCACCATGGTTTTTGGGGTGGGTTGTAAATATCATCTTCCCTTGGTAGATGAGCAAGTGAAAACTCAGAGTTAAGCAACGTATTCAAGGTCATTCATCTAATGTAAAGAAATGCTGTTGGAAACGATAATTTTGGAAAATAATTCTATTTAATTCTATCAGTATATCCTGGACTAGTTCTCTAAGTGTACACACCGTCTACCAAGTGATTCCCAGAACTAGTCTTTTTCTAGAAGCTTCACTTTGCTGATCGGCCTCTGTACCTTCTTGCTCCCCCTGTAACCTGCCTCTCAGCATTGGATTCTCTGCCACAAAATCTCGAGGGGACTCTGTTTGCTTCTTTTGCACATTACATTCATCGGGGCTTACAGGGAGCAGGTCCCCTCCCCCACTCCCATCGCTGCTCCCTAATGACTTTAATTTCTTCCTCTCTCAAACAATCAAACATACAAAAACAAACAAACAAACAAAAAAGACATTCTTTAGAAGAGATAGTAATGATACCCACCTCATGAATTAAATTACTTGGTGTGAGTTAAGTCCGTACCAGGGATTACCACGTCATTAGCTATTAGGAGTAGTCTTGCAGTTGTTATTATCAAATATACCTCACAATTAATGCAACCTGTTAGTCTGGTCACATCAAAAGTGCCACAGTGCTTTTTGGAAAATGAACAAAACAATTTCTTAAAAGTGCATCATACATTCAGAGTAATTCTTATTCAAGCAAGCTGGTTTTATATTCATGACAAGCATTTTCAATTTTAATATGTTTGCTTACATGAGACACAGATTGTAATTTAATGGCAGCCTGTTTAATTATGCCTTCATTTGTTTAAACTGTAATGTTGCTGCTGAATAAATGAAATAAAAATCTCTTTAATTTCCTTCTCAATATTTAATTTAAATCAATGATAAACAGCGGCTGTCTCTTTGAAACAATGTTAATTAATATTCCGAAGGCTAAATTCATTTTTGGGTGTATGGTATGTTTGGCATGTTGGTTTCATAATTAAACTGAAAATAAGATTGATAGAGTTAAATAACCTCTAAACAGAGGGAAAAAATACTATACAATTCTACTCAATATATTTCTGGCAATAGAAAAAAGTACAATATGGGCTTTATATTTTTAAACTGCTCATATAATTGCTATCCAATCTATAAGTCAGGGTTTAGGTTTAGAAATATTTTATAGTTATACCACCTAATTATTTAAATTCCTGAAGCGTTCATTTTTCTTTCACATTGATCTGGCCCATTTGCACATCCTATTAAAGAATTAATAAGGTGAAGAGGGGAGTGAGGGCAATAATTTTGCTAAAGCTGTCTCTACCAGGTACTATACCCAGTGCCAAGAATGTAAGGATAAATAAAACAAGACTGTGGCCCTCAGGGAATTCGCAATGTGCAGGTCCAGAAAAAATAGACAGTTTTAATCCTTACAAGTTAGTAAGTGCCTTCCTAGAGAATAATGCAAAGTTACAGGTATGAGGGAAACATGGGCAGGATTGACACTGTCAGTATCATCAGTGTCATCCTCTTCCTTGCCAACATTCCTATGTGCCACTATGTGCCACTATGTGGCAGACAATGTTATAGATCATTAAACTTACATTATCCCGGTATATAAACCATGGCCCAGACATTCAATAATTTATATCAGAAGACAGAGCTAGTGGGCAGCAAACACAGAAGTCAAATCTGGACACTGTGGCCTCAAGTTCATCTGGTCAGTTCATTATACCACAGACTTCAAAAAATATGTCCATGGAAATGAGGGGATGGCCAGGACAGTGAAGCCTCTGGATTTGAAGTGGCCTTCGATGATAGGAGCTTGTCTCTAAGCCTCAGGCTGGTAAAGGCAACTAGACAGCCTAACACAGGAACCAAAGGCAGTAACTACCAGCAAGGTTCAGAGGTTACCAGTACCATGGTATTTTAATCCATGGGCAGCCAGGGAAATGAAGGAGATGAGGAATGACTCCAATATGAAGCCATGCAATTTGAAGACATCAAAGGCCATCAGGCACTGGAAGAATCTGACCAATATGAGAGTAAACCTCACTGATACACTGAGCAGGAAGGCATCGAAGCCTCATTTAACAGGAGGAGGAAGAGATCAGAGCCCCGCTTGGGGGATGGAGATAAAAAGGGATCCGAGCTCTAGCTTGGGAGGGGAGAGGGAAGGGTTCAGAGCCCCACCTGGTGCAGGGAGGAGAAAGGGATCAGAGCCCCACCTGAGCAGGAGAGGGAAGGGATCAGTACCACCTGGGGTGGAAGAAGAAAGGGATCAGAGCCCCACCTGCAGCAGGGAGAGGGCAGGGATGGGGAGAGGTAAAAAATCAGAGCCCCACCTGGTCAGGGGCTGGGAGGCGGAGCTGGCACCTCCCCAGTCACTGTGGGGTGGTGGAGTCCTCAAAGAAGTCCTCAGCAGGGGATTAGTTCAAGCAATATTGATGGTGATGAAAGTGCACCTAGCCCACAGGTAGACTGTGTCCATAGGCAAGGTGGCAGAGGCATTGGGAATGTGTTCAGTTATCAGCCCTATGCATTAAATCAGGTTCTTGTCAGCTGAAGAGACTTGAGTGGGTGTATGTGACCCAGCACCTATGATTCAGGCATTCTCAGCATCAGAGACTGTGATTGTGACTTTAGGTTAGAGAATTCCAAGGCCATCTCAGAAGTGAGGTGAGACTCTTCTATTACTAAGTACCAGGCCATGACTCTTGTAGTGATTCCAGCTCCAGAACAGGTCACTCTCAGGAGAATGGCTCTGCAACAGGGCCTTGGAAACCTTGCACAAACTCACATGGGCAACAGCTTGAATTGCAATGAATCTAATACTGAGGAACACCATGTGGTCCCCCAGGCCAGGAGGAGGCAGGAGGCTTGTAAGGAAGCCACGAGGTCATCGCCAGTCCCCTCCCTCTCTCCCCAAGAGGCTACCATGAACCTTTCTCATCTCTTCCCGGGTCTTTGCAAAGTATAGGGTAGAACAGAGTTAGCCACAGCTCAGAATTGTCCCCTTAGAAATGGGGTGCACATCTTCCTAGTTCTGCTGAACAAATTACTATAAATTTGGTGGCTTGACAAGATACATTTATTCTTTTAAAGTTGTGGAGGCCAATCCTAAAGTTAATGGATGGAATTTAATGTAGCCCATTTCATTCCATTCATAAGCTATACCTTGCCCTAACATTACCTAGCCTATGGATCAGCATAGTGAGTATGTAGTCACTAGTTTTGGTCTCAGTATTGTTTCTTAGAGTATTAAATTCACTCAATAGCTTATTTTTATTTTAGTTGCAGCTTTTTACAGTTGAGCTAAAGCTTAGCTTTACTGAAGTAAGAATCTTTAACACACTTTACTCCAGGTTTTATTAATTTGGGTTAATTGCATGACATTGGTAGCTGATATGAAATTTACCAACCCTAAGGAAAATTAGCATAATTTGCCTAGAATTAGTTGTCATGGCTACCATCACTCTGAAGGCTCTTGAGGAGGTTCTCTCTTGCCTCTTCCAGCTTCTGTTGGGTCTGGTATTTTTTGGCTGGTGCAAACATCACTCTAGTATGTCTCTCTCTTCACGTGGCCTCTCTCTCTGTCTTTATTTCCTTTTTTTTTCTTTTGAGATGGAGTCTTGCTCTGTCACCCAGGCTGGAATGCAGTGGTGTGACCTTGGCTCACTGTCACCTCTGCCTCCTGGGTTCAAGGGATCTCCTCTCTCGGTCTCCCAGTAGCTGGGACTACAGGTGCGAGCCACTACACCCGGCTAATTTTTGTATTTTTAGTAGAGACGGTATTTTACCATGCTGGCCACGTTGGTCTCAGACTCCTGACCTCAAGTGATCTGCCTGCCTTGGCCTCCAAAAGTTCTAGAATTATAGGCGTGAGCCACGTCACCCAGGCTTTCTCTTTTTATAAGGACACTGATCATTAGAATTAGGGTCTGCCTGAAATCTGTAATAATACCACTTCAAGGTCCTCTTTGCTAATTACATCAACAAAAATCCCACTTCCAAGTAAGGTCACATTTTCAGATTCTGGATAGACATGACTTTTGAAAGAGATTATATCGCTGACTACGCCGGGCATCCCATAACCTGGATTGCAGTCAGGTCTTCCCAATTGTTTTGGTGTCCTTTATGATGTGTAAAACAAGGATGATGGGGGGCTGGCAACTTTGCTTGGATTTCCTCTCACTATGTAGGTGATAAATCATCCAGTCTGTGAGTGCCTAGATGCGTTTTCACTGCCCATTCCAGGTGGGTCCTGTCCTCACCCTTATCTGGCCTTGTGTGTGTGCTTGACAGTCATCCATTCTGAAGCGAAAACTCAAACTCAAAGCCAACCAACTCCCCTCCCTTCCTCCAGCACCTTGTCTCCAATTATCACTTTATCCTGCTGGTTCTGTCACTTTTCCAGCTCTTGAATGGTGCCCCTGCTCTTAATCTCCACAGCTCTCTCACCATCTTCCATCAGTTCCTGCCTAGATTCCTGCTGCTGCTTCCTAGCTGCTTTTTTCTGCCTCCTATCTTACACCATTCTAACGCATCCTGCAAGCTGCTGCTAGACTGATCCCCTAGAGTTTTAAAAAAGTACAGCTGCATTCCCAGTTTTAAAACTTTTAATGACATTTCATTGCTTTCAGATTAAGACTGGATTACTTAGGGCACAAGTAGTCACAGGCCCCTTTGGGAGCCAGTACCTGCATATAGACCATAGCAGTATCCCCTCCACACCCACAACAGACCCTTTGCCTGAGGTCCAGCTGGCCCATAGGAGTTTTTATGATGTATGCAGTCAGCCAGCATAGCAGTTGATTTTTTTTTTTTTGTAACTCATATCCATTTTGCATGTTTTTACATCTCCACAGACTACTGACAATCCTATCTCCCTGAAAAGATTTTGTGAGGATTCAATTGTAATAATGCGTTGGGCATATAGAAGGCACTCAAAAAATGCTGCTTTCTTTCTTGCCACTATATCAGACCTAGCCATATATCTTGCCCATAACTGATGTTTATTATGCTTGTAGATCAATCATTGAAACAATCAAGACTTCCATATCTTTCTGGAAGCAATCACCATAAATTAGCTTCATAATTCTCAAAATAGCTAAATGTCAAAAACAAGTTTATTCTATTTTTTCTCCTATAGTTAACCCTGAACTT